ATCATATTGTTAATATGACATTTGCCACTAATCAACTACTTACAACATTGCAGTTATCTTACTCCTCCTATAAAAAAAAACATTCTTTGCTTTACAGCAACTCCTTCAGCTGCATATCAACAGACTTGCCATGACAATACTTCCATGTCCGGTTGCTCTGGCCACTTCCGTCCGCCAAAGACACTCTCCAGTCATATGCTTCGAACATCCAGTGATTCATCGACCGTCAATCGACCGACACATCACTTGCGGTCGTCGTCGTGAAGCACACTCCTTGACTACTGCCGCTGATACCAGGAGCCGGTTGCTTCATCACCATAGACTTCGTTTGGTTCTGTCGCCTCTCTGCCATCAACGCAGGACACTTTCGCCGCAAGTGCCCTTCTTGCATTACAGTGCTAACAAGCACGAACGAAACTTCTTCGTTCTTCCGTTCGCACTGTGCTTTTCATCGTCATTTCACTTGACTTTTTGGTTGGTGGTAGGATCAATATCATAATGATATTGAACCTACTACCAGTTGATTTGTTTCATGCAGCTGGAGATCCAGACCCAAACTGCGGGATGCTCACTATGCCCCTCCTCCCCCTAAATACTCCAGCTTCAGGGTTTCTTCTGCCATTAACGAGCGGGTTGTACCACAACCAGTAGCTCCTTCAACGGTGATGGGGCTTACCCGTTCCTTTTCGAAGGATTTTCCACCGTCGTGAAATATCGACGGCCCAGAAGATTCTGTTGCGATGATTCACTGATTCTTCCACCTTGCTCGGACACTTTGTCACACAAATTGCTCCTGATGCACGTTTTGCACTGTGCACACTGCGCGCGATTCTGAGATTACTTTATGCTGATTAGCCACTTAAGCTAATAAATCGCCAAGAAACACTTTCGGACCACCAAGGAATTCGTTAAGTTATTGAACTATTGCACTTCTTTGCCTTTTCTTCCACGACCGGACAACAGAACAGAGAAAAGGGATGTATCGCTTCCGACGGTATATTTTGTACTATCCTATATTTACAATGTGTTGCATCTCCTATCTATATACAAAACAGCAAAATGACCACTACAAGTGGACACTATCGTGTATTGCGCATGCGCGCAGCATCCTATTAATTTCTCTTATCATCTCTGGTTTAGGATTACGGTGATACCGTTTTAGTTTTAGATTCGTTTCAATTTATAGAATTATGATTTAACTTTAAGTTAAGTTAAAATGAGGGGTTAGTGGAATTTCCTATGTTTCGAGGGGTGAATCGATTAGCTTGGGACCAAAGATAGTAGCAGAGCTGAGCCAAAAATTAGAGCTCGTTTCTTCGGGACTTACTAGTCTTATGGCGGTAAGCTCCAACTCGGATTAACTTTTAATACCGTCCCTGTTTGTATGATCTGAAAAATGTTTGCTCAGAATTATGTTGATTAACTCTGATGTCGACATCAAACCAGCCGGACATTCTTGATCGGGATTTAATCCGAGGATAATACCGGTTGGAGCTTACCACCATTAGAGTTACCTCTATCACAGACAAACAGACGTAACTCTTTGAAAAACTTGTTCTTGAAAACATAGTATCTCAAAACATATAACCTCAGTAGCGACATCTATCTGGCATCTCGCGGAAAACAAGCTTGCTCGCTAACTCGCAAACAATATTGCATAAAAGTTCTATATAATATATAGAAACGTCAAAGTGATCCGATGCCAGCGCTGCGGCGAGTAGTTCGCGGAACTGATAATATTCAAATCAACTGTTAAATGCATGAACGAAGATACACAATGAAGAGTTACGTCTGTTTGTCTGTGCCTCTATGATTATATTGCGATAGAAAAAATGTTATGGTTATTTTGCTTAACGACGTGTTCGGGGTATCATCCAAGCCATTCGTTCAAAAGTTCGACTATTTGGGTTATAGTTCATTTATGGTAGCCTTCCCTTATAAAGGAAGGCTCTCACTTTTTTGTGATTGCTCCAATTTTCTTTCATTACCACTTTATACGGAACAGAAACATTTGATAAAATAATCACACATCCAAGCTCGCATCATGATGGGCTTGTCTTCTTTTTCTTTATTTAACGTCGGTCTCTGTTCCGCAATCTAGTGCCAATCACCGACGGACATCGATTGCCATCCATTGACGGCAACCGAATGTGCAGGAAGGCAGCTTCCACACCTGCGTAGGATATCGCACCCATTCACAACACACATGGGCCGGGACCAACGGCTTTACTTCCCTTCCGAAGGAAGACGTGACCAGAGATTTTTATGCCTCAGAAAAATCCCACCGACCTCGGCTGGGATTGAACCCAGACCCACTGGGGTGTTAGAAAGCAGTCACGCTTACTATACCGGTTGTTAATGAGGGGTTCGTGGATTTTCCAATGTTGCGAGGGGTGCATCGATTAGCTTGGGCCCGAAGATAGTACCAGAGCTGAGCCAAAAAGTTGAGCTCGTTTCTTCGGGACCTTCTGTTCTATGATATGATGATACTACCAAAACAAGGGTGGAATGAATTCTGACGTTCACGAGTACCTGTTAGCTGTATCGGACCGTTACTACGATGTAATAGTTCTAACCGAGACATGGCTTGACTCTCGAACGCTTTCCAGCCAAGCGTTCGGATGTGAGTGCGAGGTATTTCGCTGCGATCGAAACCCGAACAATAGTCGAAAGTCCACTGGTGGCGGTTGCTGTTCGGTCCGAGTTGAATGCTAGAGCCATAGAGCACGACATGTGGAACTGCGTTGTACAGGCATGGGTAGCTGTCAAGCTAAGCGATCACACACTGTACTTACATAGAGGTAACTCTAAGACTAGTAGGTCCCGAAGAAACGTGCTCAACTTTTTGGCTCAGCTCTGGTACTATCTTCGGTTCCAAGCTAATCGATTCACCCCTCGAAACATAGGAAAATCCAATAACCCCTCATTTTATCTGTCAAACTTTCATAGCGAATCAAAATAAACATTGTGTAGTACTAGAATTTCGACTAGAATGGGGTACGTTTGTCGATTTGCTTGGGACCAATAGGCTGGTCAAGTAGTGAGCCAATTTAAAATCGTTAGTTTCGTATTGATTGTTGGTACTTATGTGTGATATACATTGCACTCGACCGAGTTCGCGACATTGAACTTATCGAAACTCATTGTCGATCCGTTTCCACCATATTAGATTGTGCGTCACCTATCGATGAGATTATTGTTCTGGGCGACTTTAATCTCGCTGGTGTTTCGTGGAAACCTTCCCACAGTGGCTTTCTCTGTCCGGACCCCGCTGGTTCTGCTTTCCATCCTGGATCAGTTAGCCTTCTCGACAGCTATACTGCCCTGTGCGGCATAACAGTCCCATTAGCATTTTTGGCGATTATGAGTTATACATTGGAATCGATTGTCAAGTGGCATCACTTTACAATGTACACGAAAAAAATCCTACTTTGTTCAGAAAATGTCGCGAAAAATAACAAAACTATGTTGTCCCATCCATAAGAGCCCATGGAGAAAAAAATCTTCAACAGCGTTTTTCTCAGCTTGCTGTTTTAACGAATGGGACAACTATGCTGAAAAGGGCAGTATAGCGCAGCGATGTTATCTCAAATCAATCCCGTGGTTAACGAGAACAATCGTAGCTTAGACCTGTTTCGTAAGCGCTCAGTATACGGCTCTTCTCCACTCGTAAAGGAAGTTCCTCATCATCCTCCTTTGGTTATTACTGTTGAAGACAATCACATTCGGGATCTCGAAGACATCTCCACTACGGTGTCTTACAATTTCCGGAAAGCCGATCATCGTAGCATTACCGATGTGCTGTCAAGCATTGATTGGGAAAACATACTCGATTCTGATAACGTCGAAACCGCTGCTCAAACTTTTTCACATGTCTTGGCTTATGTCATTGACAGACACGTACCTAAGAGCGTTCACCAGATTGCATCGCACCTCCCTTGGCATCAGACGAACGAATTGAAGAAGCTGATATCGATCAAGAGAGCCGCGTTGAGGAAATTCACTAAATATCGAACGATGTCACTGAAACGTCACTACGTTAAGCTCAATTATCAGTTCAAGCGAGTCAGGCGTCAATCCTACTTGCATTATCTGTGAGAGATTCAAAGGAAATTCAAGTCGCACCCGAAGTCTTTCTGGAAGTACGTGAAGGAGCAGCGCAGAGAGTCCGGTCTACCATCATCCATGATATTGAACGGTGAAGTCGCTTCCACTCCACAGGAAGTCTGCCGCCTGTTCTCCAACAAGTTTGCAAGTGTCTTCTCTGACGAGAGCTTAACCAACGAATACGTGACTCTAGCAGCAAGCAACGTTCCACTTTCCGGTCAAGCTCTGGGTGGAATTGTTGTCAACGCTGAAGTGATAACGACTGCCGCACTAAAACTAAAGCCTTCTATCAACCCTGGACCGGATGGTGTCCCTTCAGTCTTTCTAACTTACTGTCACCGCTACAACATCTGTTCCGATTGTCCATGTCGTGTGGCATTTTTCCATCGAACTGGAAATTTGCGCATGTGTTCCCTGTGTATAAAAAGGGTAGTAAACGGAATGTGGATAACTACATGGAATGACATCGTTGTGCGCAATTTCAAAGTTATTCGAGTTAATCATCATAGAGCCTCTGCTCTCCCATTGCAAGCAGTATCTAAGTGAAGATCAACATGGCTTCACCTCTGGTCGATCTACTACCACGAATCTACTGTGTCTGACATCGTACATCACGCAAAGTATGGTTGAAAGGTCACAAACAGACGTCATCTACACTGACTTGTCTGCTGCGGTGTAGAAACTCCTATAAATATCCACTATTTGGCATATATAGAACGTATAGAACGAATAATATTGTTAAGGTGACAATCTTGCTCCACTAGTCTAGTCTAGTCTAAGACCCTAGTCAGAAACCGATCGTTCCGAAGGAATTTCTTTCGAACCGAACAACCTCGTATCATACATACTTTTTTCAAATTTATTTTAGCGCGAGAAAAAACACATGTACACTTACCACAAACGCACTGGAACCATAGCACAACTCAATCTTCGATCCTACCATTTTACTTTTTCTTGTACGAATCGTAGATGTGCTCGTATCCTAGCTTGATCAGATACTGAAACGGTTTACTCTCAACCAGATCGCCCAGTTCGGGTGCGAGGAGAAAACTCTCCACCGGAGGAAGGAAATTCTCCAACTCGCCATCTAATATGTAGCACAGATCGATCAACCGGAAGAACATCATGCCCTGCATCGTATCCAACGGGGCGTTCCGACTGTAGTCCTCCCAATTGTCCCGCAGGATAGCGGCACACCAAACCTTATGCCGCACCTCCAGCGGATCTTCGACGAAGTCGAGAAGTTCCAGCGCTTTGCGGAATTCAGTTTCCGATGATCTGCTGTACTCGTCGGCAATGTATAGCTGTAAAGATAGGAATTCAATAGAACACTAGCTCGGCAAAAGACAGCCTTCGTACACTCACGTCAACGATTTCCTCCGGCGAGAGAACCTTTGAATTCTTCGTATCGTATCCGTAGATGTTCAGAATTTCGTCGGGAATCTGCTCCTGCAGATCCAACAGCTTCACCTCCGAATTGATCTCCGTGATCTGAGCGCTGAAATCTCCTTCGGCAGCCAGAGCGCACAATTTGGACAGCGAAAGCATTACGCGCTTCCGGTTTAGCAGTTCCTTTTCGTTCTGTGCCAGCGCCAGCAGTACTTCCGCACCTTGGGCCAACTCCCCGTTGAACACCAGCTGAATCCACGCCAGCGATGGGTGATCGGACAAAAATCGTGCCAACTCTGCTTGGTTACCCTTGAAGCGATGGAAGATATCACCCTGCTTGTTCTGGCGCATGTGCCAACTGATGGCGAACTGAGAAAAGTCCTGCTCCTTGTAGCGTTCAATGTACTCGTCCAGGCGGGCTTGGTTGTTGGTTTTGTCGCAGATTACGACCAGGATTTGGAAGTCGAGATACTTTTCCGCCAGCTTGGCGGCCAGTTCGTACTGTTCGGCGTCCACTGGAAGGGAGGGATGGGAAGTTTATGACGCATGCAGTTGATGAGAGACAACAATTGGGAAGCTTCGATGGACGGTGAGAATTCTTGAGATAACTTCAAGGGATTGTTGAGCTTGAGCTTCACACAGCTAGAGCGTTATTCTGAAGGGTTAATATCGGAGGGCTTGCAGTTTGGTGGTCTTTAGTAGCCTTTGTTGCATTCAAGTTGAGCAGTGCCACGCCAAATGATGAATTGGAACAACGTTGGAGTGTTGTAACTTCGTCAAATATACTCAGATTTTTATTCCTTCAAAAGCATTCGACTGTAGCGACGGAAATAAGCATGGTCGTCGGATACCGAAGATATTCCGGGTTTCCAGAGGGCTTGTCTAACTTGCTAAATTTGTGAGGTGATTTTCTAGAAAGAAGAACCATTTCCAAAGCGAATGATATGTTAATCAACCCAAGGGGTAAGGTACTCAGCACACTGTGCCGAAATTAGATTTGGCACAGCTTGGGTACATCTATTGGCACACCTTCGGCACAATCTCGTAGGCATTGGATTGTTGTAAATAAAATGAGAGCACTGTTGGACAACTGTCATTGAAGTTGTTTACAAAATTACGTGCTGTTTGACTGTATATTCAGGAACATCCTCTAATTGAATATTCCAGAAATATGCCATGCGAAACCTCTTTCTTCATGAATAAGCTTTCGATAGGCTTTAAATTGAACCTTTAGCAGGGGATAATTTGCTTTCTAACACCAAAACATGCCATGCAACAGCTCTTTCTTCGTGGTTTCTAATAAATAGGCTTTCGATGGACTTTAAATAAATCAATGACCACCACATTGGCTGCTCCCGGAACAACAGGCATGTCCTGAGGAAACCTGTAGCAGGGGACAATTGTAAGTCGACACCGAAACATGGAGTGCGACAACTCTTTCTTCGTGGTTTTTCATCAATAGACTTTCCATAAATTCAAATGGATCATTGGCCATATTGGCCGCTCTCGGAACCTCCGGGATGCCCCGAGGGGACCTGTAGCTGGGCCTTTTTACACCAAATCATGCCGTACGACAGTCTTTTCTTCGTGGTTTATATGCGTGAATAGGCTTTCGATTGATTTGAAGTAAATATTGACCACATTATCCGCTCTCTGAACCACCAGGATGCCCCCCGGGAAACCTGGTGGCAAGATGAGTAATAATTAAAAAAAAAAACTTACCCAGCGGAAAGATCAGGTCACTTCTCTTCGATTCGTACTGCTGCAACAGCACCGTCCTCTTGTCCTCGTCCTGAACGCTCTCCAGGAACATCTTTCGCCCATCCAACACAAAGTCCACCAGCTCTGTCATGTGCTGGTAGTGTTTGATTTTGAACTCCGGCTCGCCGCTTCCCTTGATACCGTAGTTCAGCGTATTGTTGATCATGTGCAGCAGCACGTCCTTCAGCCCATACCGGCCGGATGAAGCCGTCCACGGGACGTAGTCGTACCGGCGCAGTTCATCCCGAACGGAAAACATATCTGCCTTCAGCTCGCGGAACTTCATCACCTCTTGCAGCACCGTTACCGTTATCGTATTAATCTCCACCAGTGCCGTCTGGATCTGCGTGGTCGTGAGCTCCAGCTTGACATAGTTCTCAACCAGTTCGCCAAATACTTTGAAGATTTCGTGAACTTGGTTCACCTGAACGTAGAATAGGTCCTGGTTGGTCAGATTTGGAGACGGTGGAGTACGATTACCTTCCTTCAGTACCAGATCGATGGATTCGTCGATGATCCGGGCATGGCTGTTGTGCAAACATTTGAGGGCAATGGCAGCGACGATCTTTTCGGCCGTGTCTGCCAGAAGATGAGCCGTTGGACGAACCGTGTCGCCGGAGGTAGTAGCGGTGAGTTTATCCCACAAGGACGATCCATGAAGGAATTCTAGGAACTGAGTGAGTGCAACGTTCTTCTCCCGGAGCTGCTGCACGATTTGCATCGATGTAGATGATCCGAGGGCATGTCTTGTGGTTGCTTCCCACCGTGGGTCAGCTGCTGGAATATCATCGGCCAAATCCTGAGCAATCGACAGTACGGTTTGATCTAATTCACTGTCCACCAGTTTCTCTTCGATATTTTGAAGAAGTCCATTGATGATGTCATTCGAAGCTGGAGTGTTTCGTTTGATGTAATAGATGAAGGCGGCCTTTAGCTGGCTGACATTATCCTTCTCGGCGCTACTAATTTCTTCCGGGTCTAAATCGTACAGCACGAGATTGCCTGCATTGGTGGTGGCTGGTGCAAAGATCGATTGCGAAATAAAGGCTGAATCATTGACGGAAATGTTGGGATTGAACACATCGGACGAAACGGATGAGTTGAATACTTCGCTGTTTGGTTCGAAATCGGATGGAGTCACCACAACCAAACCGTGTATTTTGGAAAAGAACAGCGCCGTATTCTGGAAACAATTGCCGGCCAAAATTCCATCATTTTGAACGTTGAACTCTATCTTTTCCAATTCTTCACTGGGGCTACTGCTTTCACTGTTCGCAGAACTTCCTGCATTTCTGTCCAACATCACCGGATAGATCACTTTATCGTTGTAAACATACGCCACTGCTCTGTTCGCAATCAGTCTGAAGGCAGTGCAGTCTTCTTCCCTATCCCTGCTATAGAATCCCTTGTACTTCATCATAACACTTTCCTTCAGAACCATGCCCTCGCCTTCGTAAACGAACGTCAGCAAAGCATAGTGAACCTGCGGGGTGCGTTGCATATTGCAAGCCGCAGCCAGTATCAGCACGCCCCGATCCGTCGACTGCATGTCCAACGTCCAGAGTTCTATTTCGTTCGGATCGCGACTGCTGCTCCACAGCTTGTGCAGGAAGAATTCCCTAATTTTGCGAACTATGTCTGCATCTTCACACAAAAAGCGTTCATTCGATCCACTCGGACTGAATGCCCACCGTTGGATCCATTTGTCTGCCAGGACCGTGATGTGCCATTCGTGGCTAGATACTTTTTCGCTGTTGATCTTAATCAGTTTCTGTAATTACAAAAAAATAAACGTAGAAGTAAATCACCTCAACCCCTCCAAACAAAAACACGTACATTTTCCCTCTCCTGAATGCTGTGCATCCCGATGATGATAGATGCAAACTTTTTCCCGATGCCGCCGAAAAATCCCGACGGTGGTTTCACCTGACGTGAGACAATTGCCTGCCTTCCACCCTGTAGCTGAATCTGCAACTGTACCAAACTGCACGTGGTCGTCACCAGTAGGTAGTTCCCACTGTTCAGACCGATCAGTTCCTCGAATTCCTGCCCTTCCAAAATATTGCACTCGTCGATCGACGAACCATCGTGTGCAATCGACGGCCAATATCGAACATCTCCCGCCGGAGACACCGCCAAGCAGGATGCCATCTGGTGCCCTTCCGCAATGAACACCGTAATCAGCGTCGCCTTGTGACCGATGTCACAATGTGGCAACGTTAGCTGCCGGCATTGGCTGGCCAGTGCCCGTCTTGGTGTCGGAAAGTTATCTCCGGCACCTAAGGCAACAGCGGCTGTTGCCATCGATTTCGAGTGACTCTCCCGGTACTGCCAGATTAGCAGCCGACGGCCATGAACCAGCCAAGCCCAACCATTTTGGCTGTAGTTAATCGAAACCGGAACATTCCGCTCGGCAAAGGTAAGGATTTCACTGACCTGCACCGGGAGCGGCAGGCCGTAGCACTCGAGGATGTTGTATTCAGATTTGGCTACCACCTGGAGCGTGGATATGTTGGACCGAGTTGAGAGACTTAAGCGACTGAAAACAAGAAAAATAATTTATCATTCATGCTTCAAAGACAACTAAAAGCAACATACCCGGATCCTTTTCGACCGATAGGCAGAATCGACCCCTTTCGCCCGCCACCGGCTGAAAACAGTGATCCACCGAGCGATTGGCGTGAGCGCGAAATGGAGCTATTTCTCGATGAACCGAATAAAGGTCCGAACGACTTATCCATGGTTTATGATGGAAATTCACGTTTCTCGCAATATTTAAGGACTTTCAGTCAAAATTTCACTGTTTTTACGTTAGTTACAATTTTTGATTCCGCACTCGATGCGAGAGAACGATGTTTTGTTATAAGGAATCAACGGAATCAACGAGGAACGTTTGACGTTTTGCACCGTCTTACCGCCCTTGCCGTAAGATGATCTTTCACGAACACTATAAAAGTTATATACAGTAATCCCTCCATTTATGCGGTGGGTTGTACAGTCCACCTACCGCTGTTTCTCGGCTGTAATTCATCCAATTACGCTGATTTTTTGTATGTGATTAGTGTTAACCATAAACTAGTTATCTACAGAAATTCAGATCGATTAAAGCTCTTGATAAATGGTTTGCGAAATACACAAAACACACAATTCATCCTGATCTGACAGTCGGCGTTTAATTGACCTCCCTAATAAAAAAAATACCATAAATGAACGATAACTCAAATGATTGAACAATTCCACAAATTGTTTGAATGATATCCCAACCACGTCGTTAAGCAAATTAATCATAACATTTTTATTAGGGCTGACATTGAATAGAGCAATGAGCAAGTCCGATCACACTGAATCTGATGTCGACAGAGATGCATCTTCTGATTAAAATTTAAACTTTAAACATTCGGTTCTCAGCCCACCTCGCTTTTAACCGTAACCATGACCATGATTGTGTTAGTGAAATGATGAATACGTACCTATACACAATAACACCATCGCACACAGAGGGATGGAAAACGAAAATACAAGCTGAACATTGCATTAGGTCCTAAGTAACATTGATCGATTCTCTTCATGGACTTTCTTTTTCGTTTATAACTTGAGCACATAACCGTTTCTTGATCTGGTTGACGTGTTAGATGCTACTTAAAAGCATATTTCTAGATAGAGCTGGAATTAGGGCGAAACAGCTTTTGTAAACAATGACTTCTCTCGATGATTTCTAGAAAGCCAAGACTCGCTCACTCAAATCAATGTCGCCATCGGGTAGGGCAAGACTTCCCCTTCCCGTTGGCTATGTTGGTTTGCGTGGGTGTGCCTTGAGTTTTGAGAAATCATCTAGAGAAGTCATTGTTTACAAAAGCTGTTACGCCCTAATTCCAGCTCTATCAAGATTTTATCGATCTGTGAGCTGAAAATAAGAGGGATTGTCTTTACATGGCCGTGGAGATGCAAAGAGAAAGTCGACGAAGAGAATCTGTCAATGTTACTTAGGACCTAATGGAATGCTCAGCTTGAATAGGTGTATGCCAATTGACAAATCTCGCATCACTTTTCAAATAGATCATTGATCAGTTCACGAAGATTTGCCGCACTCTTCTCTCACCCGTAAGTTTTGACAGTTTTGGGTGGTTTGTTTAGGCTCCCATTCGTTGCTATCTCTTTTACTCAGAAGCAAAACGATAGGGAGCAAAAAGTGAGGTTAGGGATCGTGCACTGATCAATTGTACACTCAAAAAATAAATCACATTTCCGATGGAAAATAACCATTAGAATTTCACATAACTTTCATGTGATCTCATAATTGGGAATCGCACCACGAAATTACATGAACCTTATGTGTCCAATGAAGCTTATGTGATTTATCACATAGATTTCATGCGATCATGTGAATGTTATGTGAATTTCAGATAAAAATCATTAAATTTGTTATTAGAAAAATATCATGTGCGTTCCCAATGGAAACTACATGAAAACTTTTTTCAGTGTAACATATCCACCACACTGAACCAATTTGACATATTCCTGTTATGTGGAAGTCTAATAAATTTGCGCTATAAGATAATCCATTGAAAATGATATGATTGAAAATGTGTCAGATAAATTCTATATGAATATCTGATACATTTACAATGCTGATAATTTGGTAACTTTTATATGATCGTCATATGATAAATGAAAATCGGTCAAATTATAATAATTAACTGAAATGGATTTGAAACCCCCTAAGCGTAAAGGCCCAAACGCAATGTGGGTGGAAGCGGAACGGAAACGGAAAGTTTGACAGTTGTCACAAATGGCATCAAGATGCCTAACCGAAGTCGATTTGGTTGTAACTACCCAACAAACAATTTTAGCTGCAGATTAGCTTATACAGCTAAAATTTGCCTTATGCAGCTAATTTTTGCCTGTATAAGCTAAGCTGCAGCTAAAATTGTTTGTTGGGTAGTTTTCAATCCGACATAGGCTTACTCAGATCGGGCATTTCCGCTGCCCCTGCCGTTCCGCTTCCGCTGTCATTGCGCTTGGGCCTTAAGCTTTACTTTTCACCACAATATAATATATGAAATTTACTTCTTCTTTTGACACATATATTAAATCGATTTCTAAAAATATATCGAAAAATAAACATCAGGCAGTGGGAGCTTTCACAGTTGTGTCTTTTTTTTATTGCTGCTGATTTGGGATTCGATCAAGAACTGTTGAGGTGTGATTGCTTTTGGTGTCTGCGCTCGATTCCACTGGGCCATGGCTGACTTCAAGATTGAGCTCGTTCAATTAGCATGAAGTAAGAACAGCTCTCCCGACATGGAATGTAGTGCAACGTTATGCTCGTTTTGCTAGAGTGAAGAAAATAGCACTGACAAAATTATGCTCCGTTTCAGTGGTGTCGTGTATTCAAATCTTTCTTAATGCTCCTGCGTGCAATAAAACAACGACTAGATTATATGAGTTCATGGAACTGGTTCATGAAGTTCGAGTACTAGTGCTGGAATCTGAATTAGCCGTGTAGAAGGCTTACAATTAATTATATGATTTGAGTAGTAGCTATACTGAAGATCCAAGAGATGTCGCCCCTTCAGTGGTAGGAAAATCATTTTTGCAGTATGGAGAATATCAGAAAATCCACGATTTGTGACTAAACATGCATTCACAGAAGAAAACAAATAAACGAGTGTTTACGTTATCACCATAGTAATGTACTCGTGCAATTTTTGTGCATCTAAAACTGCCCATAAAGACGATAATGAATAAAAGCTGAAAATTTTTATGCACTTCCAAATGGTTTCCTACCATACCCATACATTCGAAGTGACTGGCCCTCTGGATGTGGATGATGTCAAAAACAACAAAACATGATTAATTAGAATCTTAGCAAAGTAAATATTGCAGAAGAATATTTTTTTTTCAATCTCAATACATTCTTTTTCGGAACCCCTATCTTATGGAACAATAACAAACAAAGATTATTCAATACAGTATAATTGTTGTTAGCAATATTTAGTTCAACTAATCATTTTAATGAGTGTACGATAACATTAACATCGTTGAAAATTGTTTCAATAATTTATAAAGAATAATCATGTAAGATGTTTTTATTGGGAGCGATATTCATCCCGGAAACCATGCCAAAACAAATGTTTGCTGTTGGATTTCTTAAAAGGCAAATCTATATGACTATATAATGATTGGGATAGAACTGTTTACAATCTTTAAACCTCAAAAATCAAAGGAAGCTATTCCAATGAGATATGAGATATACATGTTTTCCTATACTGCAAAGTTAAATGACAGTCCAATAGTTTCTACAAGTCTGTTTACATGCGACATATCAACAAACGTCAAAAATCGTTAAAAGCAACTCCAATAAAATATACATGATTATCTTATAAGATATATCTTTTAGTGAGCAATATTCATCATGAAAACATAAAACATATATTTTACTGAATTTTCTCATAGTGCAAACTTATATGATTTTCCATTAGTTTCTAGATGTCTGTTCCCACCCATTACATGTCACCAGTTTTTCACCATGAAACATATCAAACAATATTCATATACATCTTACCTATCGCTAACCACGTTCGAAGCAAAGTTTTATCAAGTAATAAGTATATGAAATAACGATAGAAATCATTCCATATCGCAGTCATAGTTTTTAAGTGATAATCCGATGGAATCTATCAATCATCACATTGAATGAATAAATCTGCTGACATTGCTATGTTAAAAGATGGATCCAATAAACGGTACATGTCGATTTGTTTCAGTGTAGGTCTGAGAGCCTACTTAGATTTTTTTAGACCTTCAGAGGGGGTTGGAAACTGAGAAATTTGTAGAGCTTCAGGGTAGTTCGTAGATCTTGAAAACAGAGCTGAAAAACTTTAGAAAATTTTACAGAAATTACAAGAAATTTGCACATATTCAGAAAAATTTAGAAGAGAGATCGTAGATCTTCAGATAAATTTTCAAAAGGAAAAAAGAAAAAATCAAAACTTCAAGCAAGCTAAAATATTTCCAGATCAATTTGTTAAACTGTAAGTGACATTTTGCAAAACTTCAGGAAAATTTGCATAGCTTCAGTTCAAGAATCTACAGTGAAATGTAAAGAATTTCACAGAAGTTTGGAGATCTACTGAAAAATTATTGAACATTAGTGAAGCTTGTAGATCTTCAGAACAAAGCTACAGAACTTTGAAAAAAATTATATAACTTCTGAAAAATCACAAGAATGGTCATAGATATTCACATAAATTTGAAGAACTTCAAGAAAGTTTGTAGATCTTCTATTTTTTTTTTTTAGAATCTCAAAAACTTTGATTCATCTACAGTGAAACTTGCAGAACTTCAGGGAAATTCGTCGATTTAAAAAAAAATATTTATACGATTTCAGATAAATTTGCAGATTTTGAGAGAGACATTAAAACCTTGAAGCTCAAATATTTTCAGATACATTTGGAGAACTTTGGGTAGTTTAGAAGATCTTCAGAGAAATTTTCAGATGTTCAGAGTAGCCCGAGAGCCTGCAAAGGAATTTACAAAACTTCAGAGAAGTTTGCAGATCTACTGAGAAATTTATTGAGCCTTAAGGTTTTTTTTTTGAAGATCTTGAGAATAGAACAGAACTACGGAGCCTCAGACAACTTTACAGAACATTAAAGATATTTGCAGGAATTTTTCAGAAAGCTTCACAGTTTCAGAAAAATTTGAAATCTTCAGAAAAATTCGTAAAATGTCAGAAAAGTACCTCAATTCCAAAAACAAATCGCAGTGAAGTTTAAAAGTCCCAAATTTTGCAGAACTCCACGGAAGTTGGAAATGGATAGATCTGAAGAACTTCAGAGAAGTCTGTATACCTTAAGAGAAGT